GCAGTGATGACCCACGCAACCAGCCTAAGTCGCAGGCGCACCAAGAGATGAAGGGCACTGGGCCTCTCATTATCCAACCTAAACCAGATGTGACTAGCTTGCCTTAATAGCTGTAAGTTCCATTTGAAACATCTTTTGGGTGATCTAGCAAACAGAAGCTTAATTTTAGTAACAATTCCGGTGAATACACTCCACTTCCCAATCCGCGCTTTAGCTTAAAGGCTTCAGTCTTTATTTAAACGAAGCTTCAAAGAAGATCTAGAATTATTATTAGTTATTCCCAATACGTTTCTCGAAGGAATCCATGTGTGGAAATAATTATCAAATGTTAGAGTGAGAACGGAGTAGTTTAGACATTTGGAAGTTTTTGAACAGATGCCTAAAATTTTCGAGTGGCCGCAATAAGTGTCACTCCATCTGAGCCCTAACCGCCTTAAAGACGTAAGCGATATTTCTTTTCAAAATTTTCTTTTTGGCGCAGAAATATTCCTAGAGCATCTAGATGAGTGCCTGCATCAAAAATAGAATTTCCAAAAAAATGCCGCTTACGTCTTCTTGGCGGTTAGGACTCGATATGTATGCATGGTGCAAGGACGTTTAAGAATGATTATTTAGGGTACTTGGATGGTGTGCGGATTTTATTTCTCGTATACGATTGAATAAATGGAAGCGAAACAAATTAATTATCTACTAACGCAAAAATAGTCTGAAGCAATTTTTCAGATGCAAACGGGCTGTTAAAATGAAAATTTCGAGATCAAGCATTCTTTCCATATTTCCTTCTGCTAAAGAAGAAGTGCCATTTTTAACCTAATTCTTCTGAAGTGTGTGCTATGAGCAGCACTGAGGCACGTACAGAAATCAAAGAAATTAATATGCTCCATTTCCGGCAACACTTGAAATGAAGCAAAATAGGAAAAAAATTCTTAAGAAAATGCATATGTAAGTACGTTTACTTAAGTGGATAAAAATATGTAAACTTTCATATACATGCATAGTAAATAAATATTTGTTTTAAGTTTGAACAATATCACATCCCCCCAATACTAATGATGGGAGTTGTTGCTGCCTTTGGAAATCAATTTTCCAGTTGCGTAGATCGCAAAAGACGGCATCAAAAGAAAATATTTGGCAGAATATATCACTCTTTTATAAATAGGAGATGCGCATAATAGACTTTTAAATTTTCTTATTTTTCGTTTGTAAAAATGAAGTAATGATTAGCAGAATTTACATTTGTAAACGGATTGAATGACTTTTGCTTCTGATCGAAATGAATCAATTAATTAAACAATCGATCGATCACCCGAGTTCTTTTAATGCAAACTAACCAAGGTAAATGAATTTTACTTGAAAAAAGATTGCAATAAATTACACTGCGAGAAATTCAAAAATTTTTAGAAAAAAAGGTTACCAAAAAATAACTGCGAAAAATTCCAATTCCAGCTCTTTCGAGCGCTGGTAATACCCGTATTTGTATACACTCCAAGCCTTAGGGGCTAAATCCATTAGGAAATAAATTAAGAGCAAAAAATACAGCGAATTAACAGTTACTTGCAACACATATTGCCCAACAACCGACCAGCCAAGCAGCCGAGCTTAGGTGGAAGTCAGGCTCTGCGTGGCGTGGCGTAGCGTGGAAAGAGCCAGGCAAGGCAGAGCGTGCGCGCATGGCATCATGGCGACAGTGATTGCCGCAAAGGGAAATGACCGCGAAAGCATGCGAAACTTAAACCAAAGCAGAATACGGCAACAACAAAAACAACAACAGCAGCAGTAACAAAAGCTGTAATGAAAACAACAGCAACGCCACAACAAACGCCGATGACAATAACCTTTCGAAAATAAGAACACACAGCCTGACAGCCAGCCAGCCAGCCAGCCACCGCCACCGCCTCCAGCCGCAGAGGAGTGAATATGTGTAGACTCCGTCGCGCCATTGCTATAATAAGAACAAAGCAACAACAATATGTACAATACAACAACATATGTATGTACATAGCAAGCCAAGTGTATTGTAAAAACAAAAGCGTCTCACAAAAATGCAAAGAACCTTTTAAAGCGAACCCAAAAGCGGATTTCGGCATAAATTTGCCGTTTACTAAGCATTCTTTGTTGCCGCTGCGTGCCGCGTAGCACGTTGCGCATGCGCCACGCAGGCGTGTTGCATGTGAGTCAGACTTTCGGATTCGCAGCATGAGACAATGTTGCGGTGTTGGTATGGTCCGTGATTTGCAGTGCAGTGCAATATTTTATGTTGCAAGCAATAAATTGTTGTTTTATATAACAATGGCTTCTTTAAGCAACGTTTTAAGTGCGTGTGTGTGTGTGTGTGCAATGCATTCTTAAAATGCGTTTACTTTGACTTTATTGTGAATATTGTATGATAAATTTGTTTGTAAAACTCTGCTCATTAACGAAATATTTTTTGTTGAGGGATTCAAGGAAACATATTTTATTGCTTGCTGTTGCCAGACTAGGCATTTCTTAAATATTATTCCACAAGTCGTTTGGAAAATATTAACCGTAAAGACTACAACCTGCACGCAAACATCGATTAATACAAATGCACATACACTAAGATATCCCAGAAACCTTTTTCGGCTCCAGCTGGGGTCCTTCACAAACCCTAGTAGCAAATGGAGTACCTTACATACCGAGCGACTCCCGGGGCTATACAGCCTTAGCCGGTTACAACAGATCTCTGGTCGGGCGCATTACTCTCTTTTTCCCCAGTGGTGCTACGGCCCCATTGAGCTCTCCTACGGCAGAAAAAGCCCTCGAAGAATGAACAAAGTAGGTGCCATGAATTATCCTTAACCCTCGAGTACTTAGCTCGCCACCCAGCGAACATCATCTATATAGATTGATTGTGTCCGCTTAGAAACGTAGTCTAATGACCTGCGGTTTAGCCATGGGCTTTACCAGAACATTGAATCAACCCACTTAATTCGACCTATCGATCGTCGCTTTTCTACCTCAGCGACTAGAGAGGTTCAGAAGGAATATGGTGGAGGAAAAATTAGCGGTAGAAGAAGCCCCTGTAACGAAAGAGAAAAGGGCCAACATGCATGCAGTCTGGACTAAATTATTTACAGGCATAAGAGAAGATCCGAAGAGCAATGGCGTCAAAGATAAAAACACGAAGAAGTCTGAATCCCTAGACCCCAGTGGGAGGGAGCGGGAACATCCCGTACTATCAAAAGTGGTGCTAAAGGAAAGAAAGGCGACCCAGACCCGCCATCAGTGAAAGTGAACAATACTGTGATCGAAAAAACCACCGAGGATTAATCACAATATCGTTAAAAAATTGTTAAAGGGCGATACATTATTTCTATCACGATGCAGCAGAGAGAGTTGATACACATTTATAAACCGACGGAGCCTGCAAATGTCTTGGATATGATCCCAGAGGTCGACCCGGAGGTATCCAAACACAGCTTAAGAGTAGTTAATATGGAGCAAACGGATCGAAAGAGAATCCAGGTAGTTGTGCTATTCAATAACAAAATCTTTAATATTACAACGAGCAAGAACAACATGATTAACTCTTGGTTGGAAAAGATCATCGTCCACAAAACGACACGGCATTAAACAGCGACATCAGTAGAGATTTAATAACCAACCGGTGACCCGGCAATTTGGCTTGAGATACACCTTTAACTACATATCACTTTCACGGAAGCAATTTAAGTTGAAAATTGTTTTTTTGCTGCCAGCTTCCATGTTAAATTCAAATAAAAAATCATTTTTTACTTAAATTGCTTTCGGGAAACTGGCTATAAGTATATGAGATGTGGGTTGTTTCTCGTCAAATGGCAATCAAAAGTCTGCTACCGCTATGGAGAAGATCGATTAAACATTTGTGTTCATGAAACGAAGGCAAGGACGGCATCAGATGGTCTCGCGACAGCTGTTCTTGCTACTCAGGTTCAAAGTGGCCTATCCGGTGGATCAAGGGTTACCTAATGCGGGGCGGTTTATATGGGATAATTTTTTTTTTTTTTTCCTTCGCCCATGAAAAGTTCGGGATGTTTACGCTTTTATAAGAACAATTCGTCCGATTCATGCAGTACGTTCGTTTAGTGTTCAGTATAACTTGTTCTCTTTCCATATTTCGACAGTAAGATGATGAATTCAATATTCTTTGGGAAATCAGAGAATTCTGATACCACTTTGTTCTGGCATAACACTATATATATCTTTCCACAAATTGCCGCTTCTTTTACTTAGCCAGGTATAAAAAAAAATTTATTTATGCAGTTGCTGCTTGGTCTCACTTCTTACCAAACTACTTGCGGTTTTTGGTAGCAGACTTCATGATCGCTGGCATTTATGGTAAATGCGTCAAACGCCTTTGGCGAAAATGGCAAACAAAAAACGAACAGCTAACGAATACTTAAAAAGGAAGCTGCACTGCCATCCCTTTGGGAAATGCGAGCATTCCGCTTGGCGAAAACATTACGCAGAATGAAGGAAACATCCTCTTTGTTGGACAATCGATTTCTCTTAAACACACGATGTCATTGGGAGAAAGTATTCCCCTCGCTGATTGCGGATAGTTGTGGGAAACAGTGCACAAAACTTAGCTTAAACCGAATGCGAAATTCTTGCACAAAGCTTCATTTGGAATAAATATGGAAACAAATCAGAGAAATTCTTTAAATTAAATTAAATTAATTACATTAATAAAGTGAGAAGGAAACCGAGTAAAGGTGTGATAATGGCAATTTAAATGGATGCTATTTATATTTGGACAGCCGAAACTTAACGTAACATAGTGCCATGTCGACGTCTGTTTCATTTGGATTGTCTGAGTTCTAAGTTATGTTAAGTTAAGCCAGGTTGCCATAATCAGGCTTTAAGCTTTAAAAATTCCTCGGAGTTGCCATTTTACTTCCAATTGGAAGCTGTGCTCAATTTCCCAGAGGGATATATACATATACATACATACATTGCAAATGTGTATGGATGGAGCTTTGCGCTTGCGTGATACTTACCAAAAAAGTCCTCCCAACGTTCCGAGTCGTCTGATTCTATATCCATTTTGGTGTTGTAACTAAAAAAAAAAACTGCTTGCTACCGCTTTAAAGTTGCGCCGATCGGCAGATGTATTTGCTGTTATTGTTGTTGTAAACACTGATTGGACTAAAGCCAACGATGAATGTCTTTGCAATTTGTGATTTGTTAGATAGCAGCACAATTTTTGTATGAAATATCTTTGTACATATGGACATACATTGACAGTAGCTGCGACTTGATTGCAATTTCTGCAACAAAGTTGTCTTTTTCTAACTAGTATTCTTTATTTTTTGCCAATTTTATTGTAACATTTTATTATTATTTTTTAATACTTTGCTTGTTTCTCTTTACTTTGCTGCTTGATTTGTTGTTTGTTACCTTATTTAGCGGCTTGATAGCTCAACATTTTCTAAGAAGAATTTGCGCAGCAACACTTTAAGGCCATTTGAAGTGATTTTATGCAACTTGTTTTCTTTTTGTTGCAATGCTTGTTAAGTGCTTACTATGTGTACGAAACGTGATTGCTTTTGCTTCTCGCGCAGAAGGAACACACACACACACACACAGACACGCGTGCGTACGTTCACAAAGTTAGTGCGTGCATTTTATTTATTTTTTGTTGTTGTAAGCCAAGTAGACACTCCTAACTCGTTCGTTTATGCGCTTAACACTCATTTATGGGCAAACAATGCGCTAGCCACTTTTCTTCTTCACACTGGATTTGTTAGTTGTTAGTTGTGCATTATGTATTTGTTGTTGTAATGTAGTTTATTGTGCGGTGAACGTTTGCGAAAATTCCCACACAGTTGTTGGTAAGCGCTTGAGTACGTTTGTTGGCAGCTATCGCTGGCAGAATATTTGAAATGTTCACTTTGCGCGTAGGTTAGGCGGCTTAGGCGTATACGTAATCGGCAGATTTCTGTATGTGCAAAAAAATTAAAAATGTTCACAAATGTTATTGCAAAAAGTATTCAAGTGAAATGCTAGTTACACTTTCAACGCCCGGTGTAGCACTTCAAGGCCACTCAGCGCACTTACTGTACGAGTTTACGTTATCACCTTGGCTAAGTTGAAAGCAACTCGCCGTTACTTCGCAGCGCTTAATAACTGATCTAGTTTACTTATCGTCAATTACTTATTGCTGGCAGCCGCATTGATAAGATAGCGCATAACTGTGGTGATTTTGATAAAGTAAAGTTTTATAATTTTTTTGCTTGTATTATCGGTATTTTTTATTGCTTTTTCATACTAATTTTTAGTGCCTTTTTTGCTTTGAAATTTTTCTGCTGACACAAAGAAACTGCACTAAACAGAATTTTGATCAGAAACGCCAAGTTTTTGCTGCTAACAGCCAGTGGTAGCAGTCGATTTGCGTTCTTTATCTTATCTCAGATAAAAGCTGGCGAAAAAAGTAGTGAACAATTGCAAATTTTTGCGGTTGCGATCACTTTAAAATTGAATTACTCTTCACTTGTTTTTTTTTTTCGTTCTTTTTGTTCGTCTCTATGCACTTCATTCGCGATTTCTCGCTTAAGTTAGTATCTTTGAGCTTCTCCAACTCAACTCGTAACCGAAAATCGTCCAATTAACTTCAGCTGCAGCTGCGGCGCAAACACCTTTATCATAACTTGACAGCACTGCTCCCGCCCGCGCACTTCCCTTTCCTATGTTGTTCTAATGCGCACACTCTCACGTTCACTCGGTATCAGCGGTATGCTTGCCTGCTGCTAAACAGTCGTCGTCGATCACACTTTTGTGTACTGGCGTTTCGTGGAAACGCCCGATGAGTAACAGCTTTCAGGCTTTATTGGCCCCCGCGCCAGTCGCGTAAATCTGTTTTGAATTGCCTCCACCCGGCTGGCTGCCAATCAGGCGGCTAATTTTATTGAATTTTATTGTGAACGAGCGCACATACAGAGCCAATAAAACAATAACACTAATTTGCAATTCAGCCAGGTTTATTTTAATTTCGTTGTCGGAGCTGCGAAAATGTATATAAAGCAAATTAGAATAAAATCAAACTGCATTGCATTGTTATTGTTTTCGTTTTCAAAGTCAAAATTTAAGCGAATGTAGCAAAGTCTATGTGAATTGTAGAAAATTCAACAGGTAATTTTTTTTTTATAAATTTTCGCTGGCAGCTGTAGACTTTACGTTCTGCTTTTGCCTTTGTTTTCACTTTTCTTTATTATTCGTACTTTTTATTTATTTGTTATTCGCTATTTGTTATATATGTATGTATTTTGCTTTGTAATCAGTATTTTTTTTCTCCAGAATCCATGCTCACACTCTCCATGCGAGTACAATGACTTTGAGATATGATTTCCCACACTTTGCAGTCACATTCTGCTTATGCAAAATATATCGAAACGCAAGCAACGGCACTTCATTTCAACACTGCATACGTTCTTATAAATTTAGTTTTTTTTTCTTCTTTTGTTAGTTTTTTTGTTTTTACTTCTTCGAATTCGCCTGCCTCACAAGCGCCACTTCTTTCAAAATTACCATTTGCCCGCCGATCTGACTCATTCATGCGACGCTCGAAAGAAAACTGAATCCAATTGAGCATTGTGCTCCCTTAGTAGCCCCAACCAAAGTTAAGCCAGCAAGCAGGCAGTCAGCCCACTAAGTAAGCAAACGTTCGATCGTGCCAACGTCTCATATCGTTTATTTGCTCCAGCCAATTTATTTAAGTGTGGAGTCAACACGGGCAACATAGTTGACGCAACATGTTCGTTGGCGCAGGTAAGTGCAACTTGTATGCAGATGTTTTTTTTTTTTTTTGTATCTATTGAATGCACTTTCGGTTATGAGATGTTATCAGTGTATATTTCTTAGTGTAGTGGTAAGAATTTGGTTAACAAACTTGGATAAGCGGAGTGTTCTTTTCGGTGCATATGTATGTAATTAAGGTGATTTATTTCACACTGGGAGATGTAAATATGCATACATACATATTTCGAATTCTTTTCTTATCAGATTTACCCAAATCAATGATATTGAAAATCTTTTATTCGGCGTCGAGGTTATTTATCAACCTTAATGACATTTTAATAAGAGTTTTAATTTTGGCCATCTTATTCTACAATACATACATTCATACATATGTAAATACATAGCTATATACAATCAGGCCAATTGAGACGGGAGTCAGCGGGATAAATTGACCCGGACCAGGGAAATGGAAAAAATTCAATAAACTTTGCTTAATGCAAAAATTATAAAACGTGCAATAAAAAATTATATTGCGTAGAAAGAGAGGTTTTGTGATTTTCTTCAACATGAAAAAGTATGTTCATTGGAAAAAAAAAATCCCATTTTCTTATGAATCGAAAGGAAAATGAATATTCTCATACTTTTCCAAACTCTTTTTGAAAACTTAACATTATTTACAATGAATGTTATTGAGAAGTTATTTTGAGCTGCACTAAAATTATATACCATTCAGTACTAGTCTTGAAAGATGGTTGATTTTACAAGAAAATATCGATATTTATCAACTAGATTCGATTGTGTAAAACCTTTCGCAGCTCGTCTCCCTGATCTTAGAAAGTCCATTGAAGCTATTGAAATATTGAAACTGACCGTCGAGACAAGATCATATGTGAAAGGTATTGAAACGTACATGGGATCCTTCGGATGTATTTTGATGGCCTCGAATAATAATAATGTGTTCTATTCGGCTCAAAATTATGATCCCAATTGATTACCGGAGTAAACAATTTACAAGCGGTTTATCGGCGTACTTAGATGCGGTATGTCATGCGATACGATGAGTTCAAAACTTATATCGCAGCAAGCAAAATTAATCGCTCGATATTAGTGACTTGTTCATGTAGTTGTCTGAAATTAAGTTAATAATTCAATTCGTCAATTGTTGCCCCAATTAAAACGATTTGAAGTAAATGTTCGGAATATAGAGATTGCCATAAGAAAGATGTAGCAACGCAGTTCCGAATTTTGCGATTGTCGCGACAGTTCGAGAATATTTTATTGATATTTTTTTTCGATATTTTTATTGGTTTTGTTATAGATATTTTTATCGATTTTGTTATCAATAGTTTTTGTAGATTACGTTATCGATTTTGTTATCGATATTTTTAATCGAATTTGATATCGATATTTTTATAGATGTTGTTATATATATTTTTATCGACGTTACTATCGATTTTTAGCGATACATTTATCAATTTACCGATATCGCTATCGGTATATGTATTTATCGATACAGTTATCGATATAATAATCGGCACATCACATGATATGGCATCACATGTTATGACATCACATAGCATGACATCACTTTATATCATCACACTACATATGACATCATATCACATGATATGAATCATATGGCATGATATGACATAATTTCACAACACTTTACATCTTATGAAATCAAATCATATCACATAACATCTTATCAGGTCATCGCACCTCACATCATCTACGTGAATACATATATAGATGAAGGAAAGCATAAAAGCAAACATATAAAATATGAAAACAAAGATGAAGACCAAGGAAAATTTGGACACTTTACTTTTATAAGAACACAAGAGAGTATGAGGATAAAAATAAAGATAAAGGAAAACAGAATAAAAAACATAAATGTTTTTAGAACGGAAAAGGTAGAGGTAGGGATAGAAAATAGATAAAACATAACCTTAAGTTTATAACGTTATATTAACTAACTAGTCTGTTGTTTTATTCACAATTTCAAACCAATGAAATACATACGCACATTTATACGTATATTGATTATAAGACAAACTACTTAGATATGTAAGTTTCACTTCTCCAGTGAGGCCTAGGCGCACGTCTTTTGCACTTAGCAAATTTGCCTTTCGTTGAATATAAACGGGAAGAAATATAACAGATACCTTGATCCCTTTGGTAACGATTCATTTTTAAATTTTCTTGCTTTTAATATCAAAATATGAGTTTTCACAAAAATGGACTTAGAAAATTTTCATTCTAAGTTTGCGATATATTTTACTGTATGCGTCGTTTGGAATTGATATTAAGCCAGAATATTCCATTAATTGGATTTTAGCTTTACAAACTGATAACCAGATTTCTAATTTTCCATCAGGCCTTTTTCCTGTTTTGGCCTTCAAAAACTGAATGGTTACTGGGCGCTGGCAACGATAGCGAGTTTGGTTGTACCTCATTGAGTTCGTTCGTTTCGCCACTCGCTAACGGCTAATGTCATCAAAAAGACGGATGGCAAAATGCGACTGACAAAACGAAACTGCAGTTGCAAAAATATAACGGGAAAAGGAAACGCATGTGCTTTGCGGACACTGCGGTTCTAATATCTGCTAATAAATTCTTAATAATTAACGGAAACCCAAATTTCGATGTATACTTTTCAGTGTTGGGTAGTGAAATACTGGTGATATAGAACAGTTTACATAAATATTGCGAATTGGGATAATTGCCACAACATGCAAATGAAAATTCTTTGGAGGAAATCCAGTTCAATAAATTTTTAGGTTCCGTGTGTTTAATCGGATTTTCCAACAAATATTAGCCGCCTTTGATTCGCCACATCTTTGCACGCGATTTTTGAGTTCCGCTGGCTTAATGAAAAAATTGTATATGAAAGCAACAACAAAGCTAGCTAGTAGCGATGAACGATGGCGTTCAACAATACCTTCAATAAAAATTTTTAAGTGTTACTTTAAAAAACAACGGAGTTAGATGCCACTTTTTAAAAAGCCCTACCTGTTTTTGATGCTCTTTTTATAAATCTTTTTTCCTCCTGTAAAATAAGAAATTTGTTGATTAGGGCCTTTTTGAATAAAGATAGCGATATGTACAAACAGATGTATGTACAAAGGAACAATTTGTAGATTTTTGATAATTTTAGAATAAGTTCCAAACTTTATTTGTATGCATACGTTTCGAAGCTTAGATTTTACTGAATTTTTTTGTATCGTTTTGGCTATTTCTTGGTATACATATGTATGTAAGTTTAACTACTTTATCATACTGCTTTGAATAGTAAACATTTTGCTAGGCACAGATTTTACAAATCCCCAGTAGGATTCTAGCGCGAATTTGAACTTATTGAGGGTTTTATCTTCACTGAAAATACCGTTTTTCAGTTCCTATTACAAAATTTTTATATTTTTGTACAAGTAATTTTTAAGCAAAAAACAAAACTGAAAAATTTTTCCAATGAATTGATAACCTTCTCCTTTTTGTGAAGTCGGTTAAAAATGCCAAAAGCATATTTTCATGTCATAGCGTTTTATTTGACTTTTTACACTACATATAATATCCGAAAACTCGCATCCGATTTTCTGTAAAGCATTTTCAATGTAGTGGCAGCTTAATATAAAATCTATATTTGAGCTTGCATTTCGGGTTATGTGAATTATATCGCATACATATATGCATATTTATTATTTGTCTTTTCACTTAACTGCGAGCCCACATCTGTCAACATTCAATTGGGCAATTTTTTCACGCCTATGCACTGAGTCCCAAATCGAATTCACAACAAAGTTTCACTTTTCACGTCAAAAAAAATGCATCCGTTTTACACTTTCCGTCCAAGCGTTTTTAAATAAATAAACCAAAATGTACAAAATAAAGTTCAGTCAGCAAAATCTCGTTGCAACCTCAATGGAGGCCGCGAACCGTAAAGGCTTGAATTCATCCATTAGCACCTACCTCAATAATTAAATATTTTCCCTTTCTACATGTATATTATTTATGTACATATATGTATGTATGTATATGTACATGTTACATGCAATTACATTATCATTGTTGTGCTAGCTAACTGCGACTTAAATACTTTTAAATATTTACTTTTATGTGTCAGTTGCTGGCACTTGTTATGCCATCGTATCGGAAATGAGATTTAGGAGAACTCTTTGAGGACTAAATGTATGTGTAAACACAGTAGTATTGAATCGTGATAATCACATCAAATCAGTATTTGTATTAAGAGTGTTAAGCTTTCTCCCACTTGGGAGTGAGTACAAAATAATACGCTCAACTTTAAGCCAAGCTATGTAAAAACATGCATCGCAATTGCAATATCTATGATTTTGAAGCCACACTCTTATACGTACATATGTATATGTATATGCACAAAAATATGTCCAGTTTAAGAAATCAAAAGAATTATTTCTTTGGAACCTCAAAACACTTAACTTTGTTATAGT